TGTCAATGTCGTTTTCCATCTTCATCTTTCATATTGTTTCCTATCTCGCCATTTGCTTGTAAGCAGACATCATTCCTTCTTTGAGATAAATTATTATAACACATCCCTCATATTTATTATAGGAAATGAAAATAGAGAACAAGCGGCTGATAATGGCGAAATGTGAAGAATGTTACTGTACTAAAACTATAGAAAGTAATAATTTTGGCTCTGAATGTAAATCTCTGTTGCATCAACATAAAATGAAACATTCATTACCATGTTATATTGACGGAAATAATATACATCGGAAATTATACTTTAGCACAAAAAGGTATCTAAAAGAAGGTGGAGACCATTATAAGAGAAATAATGAAACTTTCCCCTCTACTTATAAATATAAAATAGTCTAAGTAGTCTACAAAATCAGAAGAAATCATGCAGAGGGAGACAACCACATAAATGAAAGTACATGACAAATCAATACAATATAGGATTATATAGAGCGGAAGATGATAGGGTAAATGTAAAAGTTTGTAAGTATTCGCAAATTTTGACAATTATAGTTTGTAAGAATTGACAATATATATACAAACAAAAATGACACAGAAATATTTGAAAGTATTTGAGACCTAAATAGATTATGTGAAAAGAGTTATGTCTCATAAATCAGGCCCACCTACAGCTAAGTTGCATAAAGAGGAACAATGAACATGGCCGAGGGTAAAGGTCGTTGTCATGGTTATTATCTCCAACAATAGAAAAGCGGAATAAAGGTATTTAAAGGGTATAGATTGTTTCACAATGAACTGACTTTAGCATGGATGACCCTCGTATGCTACATGTATATGGGGTTCAGATAACCCTGTTATTGGGGTCTTGTTGTTTTTGCAGTTGTCGTAACTGTTTTGTAAGAATTTTAATGGGATCACATTTTGACGTACTCCTAAATGCAGATTGTTATTAATCTTATAACGTAAATCCAGATCTTACCCTATCTGCGATATTTTTGCATTGAAAGATATAACAATCATGCAAGATAAGGTAACAAACGAAAATATTTGGTAAAGTTAAATGTCACAGACGAAAAAATGACATGATAAATAATTGTTTCTCTCTCTCTCTCTGTATTTCTCTCTATTTCTCTCTCTCTCTCTCTCTGTCTCTCTCCCTCTTTCTTTCTCGCTCGATTGCTCAGCACCATTTTCCATCATCATCTCTGCCTGTTTTCCGTTCTGCTATTTGCTTATATTTCAAAAGTATGCCTGTTTCGATCTTGAGATAAATTATTATACCATAATCTCGATATGGAGAAAGAAAACACGGAACGACCGCCTGATGAAACGGAGATGAGAAGAATATTTCAGTACAATAATTATAAGAAGTAAAACTCGAATGTAAATCTCTGTTGCATCAGACTGATACAAACAAGAGGTTCATTATGCTATTTTATCTATAGTCAGTAGAAGTTCCAGATACAGGCCTGCACATGTTGCAATATTATTAGCTAATTTTTTTTTGTTTCGTATTTGCGGAATTTGCGCCGGGCTTCAAGTTTTCAAATGATTGTTTTCGGAAAATTGTTCTATTGCACCTATACTCCACCTGGCGATCCACTCACATTCGGATACCAACATTTCATTTCGTTCTTTATCAAACCATAATTACATAAAGTGATCCAAAGTTATTGGCCCGAATTCACAAATCAAGGTTTGAGCTCAAACCTCCTTTTGTTCTTTACAAACCAGGTTTGTAAAAAAACGCGTCATATGACGTACGAAAACCAAGGTTTGTCGACAAACCTCCTTTGTGAATTCGGGCCATTCAGTTTAATAGAAAAAAGGCCCTTCATTATAAAGCTAAGAAAATAATTACAAAATATATACTTCATAAAATCTTATAACGTTTCAGAAGTTTATTTTGCCCTTGCGTTGTGCTATTGTTTTATTTCAAATTTGTTTACTACCGGTGTAACTGTGTTAGATTATTTTCATTTCATATATCTGGGGACAAGTTGATAAACTTTAGGTCTATGTTTGTTTCTCACATTTGTTTATAACTTCAAGTTGATTGTTTCATTAAATTCCCTCCCACAGTCATTTTCTATTTGTTTTGACTTAATTAATCTCCTTCCTCTCTCTTTTCCTCCCTCTCGATCACTCCTATTGTTTTCTTCTTCGTATTGCTTATTTCTAAACTCTAAAACATGAAAATATTTATCTAAATACTTTATTCCTTCTAACCGAACTATATCTCTGAAGAACTTGGTCTAACTACGGTTGGATTATCTGCATTATATAGAATTCTTCCTTGCGAAATAAACATTTTTTTTCTCGAGCCCCCCCCCCCCCCCACTCTGGGAAAGGGGGGACCGCATGCGTGTTCCCAAAATATCCGGCTCGTAACAAAGAAAAAGATCTACCCGTATTGATTTTACACACTGGACTCCTCCCCCCCCCCCCCCCCTCCTCCACGAACCCCTGTTACGCTTCTATTGACATAACAAGGAATGCAAAGGCATTCATCCTATGCTAGACCGCTATGATTCATATTCATATTGCTCTATTCACAAATAGCAACAGAGCACATCCTTTGTCAACGCTTCTACATTGCGTGTTTGGGGACAATTAACTTTTGTCTCTACTTGCCAAAGTCATGCAATGCATGCATGCATGAGTGAAAGGCCGTGAAATTGTTTTCAACTGTGTGCCAAGTGAGCATCAGTTTTTCGTAGACTGGTATACCAATAGACGCCATCTTGATTGGGACCTGATACACATGCTACACGAGGTTGGATGAATTGTGCTTCTTCATAAAAAAGAGTATCTAGATGATCACCATTCTTTCTGACTTTACGTTATGAAGATTTTAATTGCAACATACCGGTGAATAAGGTGAGCTTTACATTGTATGTAGGTAATTTAGCTGTGAAAAAGTTTGGATTCATACAAGGACATTTAGGTTCATGGAAAATACATAATTAGGTGATAAAAGGAGAAACATGTGTATTCATGCGGGATGGGGGTATGTCTATCTTATCTGGAGGAAGAAATATGAGAATGCAAAGTAAAAATCCACCAATGACAATTGACGATTCATTTTAAAGGCATCGTAACAATGGTAAATCTGAGATGCATGGCCCTACCTGATATCAGTGTCTGTGATATGGTGTAATATTGAAACCCTAAACAAATCACGCTTCAAAATGATCAAGAAGTGCCTCAAAAAAAGTAAAAATCTTTGAGTGACCGGTTTTACCATACTCGTTTTCCCCAATAGACTGTAGTGTAATGAAAAAAAATCGTTTGGCGAACGGTTTTCAAAATTTGTATTTCCAATCATAAATATCTTGATAATCAGACTTCTAAAAGTCATGGGGTTCCTGACTAACCTAAAAGTTTATAATTATCATTGTAGCATGAGCTAAATCCAGGATTTTTTCTTCTTCAGAATCTAAGACAAAGTTACCGGATCCCTTCAATAACTGCTAGTTAAAATTCGGGAAAATACAAGTATTATAGTCGTCTCTCTCGAAGTCGTCGAAGCAAATATAAAGTCACATCGGTACGCGAAGGAAGAAAAAAAAATCGCCAACCAACCGACATTATACATGTCACATTTATATAGTACACGAGGATCGAGCGAGAATACCGAAACAGCTGACCCGACACAGCAACAAATCTATGCGTATCTTTCTTGCTCCCTCGACAGACGATATGATTCCACTCAATAGCCCCCCCCCCCTTTCTCTCTTACTCCCACCCCTCCCTTTTCATGCTCTTACCCCCTTTGTCTCCTCGATGCCCCCCCCTCCATTTCTTTCCCCCTATTTTCCTTCTTTTTTTTCTTGTTTCCCCTTTTTCCTTTATTTTCCTTTTCTTTTTCTTTCCCTCCCATTTTATCATACTCCCCAACGGCAGTGCAGTTTTGTCGACAATATCCAGGTAGCTGGGGCTGTCCCCCCCCCCACCCATACACACCCCCGCTAGCGACACACCTGCTTACAGTGCCGTGACTCGTTTTTCTATGAAAATTTTCTGCTCATAAATTCCCTCAACGTTAGACAATAGAATACTGCTCTATAAAACTGTGACCGTACACTTGTTGATATATTATATTGGTTTTAATCTGTTCGTATGTAATAATAATGTGAGTATGGGGTTGTTAACGATAATATTATAACACCTTTTCCTTGCAGCTATAAAGTGTTGCACACATTGCCTCACATGTTCCAATCACTTGATATTATCACTTATCAAGAACACTGTTATAAAAACACGCATACGATCCTTAACCTATGTTAACAATTACATAAACTTGTCAATTTTGCTATAGATCATTCGTTGTTGTCAATTTTAATAATTTGTACAAATAATTCTACAAAATTATAAATGTGATTTTGTCTTATCAATTGAAAGCCTGCACAAAGTACCGATAAATTGAGCAATGTATATGTTATATCAATTACGAACACTACGAAATATCAAATCAATATATATAAATTTACTCTCAATGCATTTTTTTAAAACATGGAGGTTATTTATTTTTGTTTTCAAGACCTTCAAGTGTTTGATTAAATAATTACGACCTTTGTTTATCAATTTTAAAGAAATTTCACGGGAGGAAATACACTTATTTATTAATATTCTTGTTAAAAATGTGCATGAGACTATTTAACTAAATGAGATCACTGTATTAAATCTAGTATTCTCTTCTTTTTGCTTTATCCCTCCCTTCCTCCCTTTCCTTTGATCCCCTCTTTTATTCCCTTCCTTATCCCTTTTTCACCCTATTTTTCTCCCTCCCTTCGTGGTTCCCCCATCCCTCATGGCCTTGCTTTTTCTCTCCCCCTTCCTTCCCCTTCTGTCTATCCACCCCAACCATCTAACCCCTATTTCCACAAAAACGCACCCCCTCCTCTCTCTCTCTCTCTCTCTCTCCCACGTCTACCTCTACCTATCTGTCTCTCTTTCTTTCTCTTTTGAGAATTGTTCTTTCTACAGGTCAATACTCTGATCAGGATGGCGGCCAACTTCAGCTCTGCACAACACATCTGTGATGGAGAGAACTGTCAATCAATCACAGATGTGACGTACTACGTGAAGGAGAAGAAGAACCTCTGTGACGACTGCGCCTTTAAAGAGGAGTGCATCAGAAAAGCAAGAAAGGGTAGGCCCAATCTGTATTGTGAGAAGCATGATGGTGAAAAAATCAAACTGTATTGTAAAACACACGGTGTAGCAGTATGTCAATTGTGCGCAATGATAGATCATCAGCAGCCTTGTTTGCTACAGGATATAGAGGGCGCCATCATGGACATAAGAGCAAAACTAAACATTCTAAAAGAAAAGGCAAAGGACAAATTAGAGTTTTGTCGAGTTTATGGAGATCAGATTCATCAGTGTAGGACAGACACCGACACCCATCTACAAGCTTTGAAAGATGAAGTAGATTCGGTAATCAATGAGGCCATCCAAACGGACAAAGAGAAGGAGGATGTTGCTAAAATCAACCAGGAGATTGATGAGAAGAATCAAAAACTTCGCGAGGAGATTCAAAAAATCAATGAGAATATTCGAAAGAACGATGAGGAGAGAGAGAAGCAAATTGAATTAAACCGTTCATATGCAGAGAAAAGACGAGAACCAATCGACAATAAACAACATGTTCTTCAAACAGACATTAAGAACATCGCTGAAGAGAAAGAAAGAAAGATTGGTGAGTTGGAGAACACATTGCAAAATGACATAAAAAACACAAAGACTACAATACAGACACTCGATACAGTACTCGAAAATGATAAAAATGTCGTCAAAGACGGTCATCGTGTGAAAACATCAGTGAGTGATGAATTAAAGAAGCCATTGAACGAGGGTGAGTTGAAACAAATTACTGGGGCCATATCAGGTGTGAGGTTTGTGAAGGGTGCTGGGATACAGAAGTATGATGGGAGGATTGATGGATATGATGGGGAGTGGAAGCTCATTGATACAATCAATATTAAAGATAAATTACCAACCATTGTAGGATGCATAGATGAATGCAATGTGATCATCACAGATAGAGTATTGGGTAGGCAGCATACATACATGTTAGATATGAATACTAAAATCAGCCAGAGAGTGATCACCGGGATCGATACATCATGGGTTGCCTCCTGTGCATTACTGAATGATGGCAAGGTAGTATGCAGTAAATACCGTAAAGGGTATACAGGGGACAGTCTGACTGGGTACATCGGTGTTTATGACAGACAATGGAAGCATATCAATGACGTCACCATACCAAGAAACACCACGCTTCCTGTCACATCGGTGAATGTAGCTGTTGACCAGGATGGGATGATCATCGCTGGTGAGTGGGGTGAGTCTAAGATGTACGTCGTCAACCCAGCTGATGGTAAGATCATGAATACCATCACATGTAAACAAGATATAGAGATGCACGATGTGCTATCATCAGGTCACATCGTCGCTCGATCCTTGCTAGCAGATCACAGATTGTTCATCATCGACAGAGAGGGTGCGCAAAGGGAAATCCCCCACAATGGCGTCATCCTGAATGCCTGCATCGATTATATGACAGACGACATCTACGTCGTGACATCAGATGATGAGAGGATGACGTGTGTGATTGATCAGGTGATGAGTGGGAGTGATGTGAAGAAGAGAAGAGTGGCATCATTTCCTCTATCAACAGAACAAGAGAATGAGGGTGATTGCCTTGACGAATCTCGGGTGATGATGACATCATCGGGAAAAATGATTGCTAGCGATGGAGAAAACATTCTTGTATTCAAAAACAGATTTACCCTCTAAGTCGAATCGTGTTTGAATACTTTTTTCCATGTTCACTACGTTATCACACGGTATTTAAATAAACATGTGATACGACTATTATTACTAGCATCCCAATAATTACATGTAGATCTCAATAAATGTGTAATAAAATATACCTGCACGGTCGCTCATAACGTTGGAATTTTTTTTTTTACCCCAATTTATGGTATTATTTTGACAATTATTATTTCTAATACATCTAGATAATAGTATACATTCTCATATTTTATTGAATAATAATGTGCCAGTGTTTGTTTTGCGTTACTGCTAAAGCATGTGTATGATATTATACTTATCAACTAGGGGACCTACGCCCTTATGACAGTAATGAGGATTAATGCCTCGCAAAAGGGCAATAACATAGCACATCGACAAGGTTTTACTGACGTACGTTATCACTAGCTCTTTCATTGGAACCCTCGTACTATCATGTCCTATTGACTTTTGAAAGTTTACCCACCATAATTTGGTAAAAATAGGTCGCCAGCTCGCCATTGCCTATATAACACACGTGCAACAAGCCGAACTTTGGACGCAATTGCGATCACTTACTCTTTTTTCATATTCCAACAACAAAAAACAAAACAACAAAAAGCCAGGGGGCCCGGGTCCGTCGGAAAGATTTGTAAGATTCAACATTGTTGATTTTATAATCTTGCTCATTATGAAACATTCAAACGTTTGATTTGTAATTTTGTTAAGTTGCCCAGACAAATCTTATAATATGAAAATAAATTAAATTCTTGCTATCTAACACAAGGGCATTAGAAGTGATTTCCTCCCAGTTCATTCTGGGGTACCACAGGATTTAATTTTGGGCCCGGTACTATTTTGTATGCACATTAGTGACATATGTGATCTAGCCTTGCATTCAAATACTAATATTTTTTTTGTACGCAGATGATACTGCCCTTTTCCCCTCTGGTTATGAAGTACAAGCTGTTTAAACCCGGTTACAAAACCACATACTAGTTGTATGTGAATGGATGAATGAAAATGGACTAGTTGTTAACACAGACAAAACTAAAGTTATGTTATTTTCAAGTCGAAGGAAGAAGAATCCAGTCAAATTACAGATACAAATGGGTGGTTAACTTATAGAAAATGTAACGAAATTTAAATATCTGAGTGTTATTGTAAATCAGAACTTAGATTGGTATTCCCATGTCAATGATGTTGTTAAAAGGATTATGAACTCGCTCATATGTATGCGTAGGATTAAGCACTGTTTGACAAAACGTGTATATACTCATTTATACTATTTCGTAATTCTTCCTCACATTGATTGTGTTCAACCGGGTTTGGGGATCACTGAAAATGAAAGATTTAAAGCGACTACAGAAATGTCAAAACAAATATTGTCGTTTAGTATTAGATGCAAGTTATTATACGCATGTATAATCTATGTTAAATTTTTAAGTATTTGTATGTGTATTGTAAACTCTAAGAAAAAAGGGTGCCAAAAAGGGGTGCAAAATAAGAGTTTGGACCCTTTACATAAAAATGAACCCTATTTAAGGAAAAGGGGTTCAAAAAAGGGTGCAATTTCAGATTTTGCACCCTTCCCACAAAAATGAACCATATCGAACAAAAAAGGGTGCAAAATAAAAGTTTGCATATTGCATGCATAATTATGATTACTTTCCACGTGTTCACATAAAAAAAACATTTATCATGATTTGTTAATCAAATTATGACAATGCACATCAATTTCGTGATTTGTATTTTCCTTTGGCAATCAATAACCAATATATTATTTTGTCTGATCATGTTACAATTACATTCACATTTTAGCAATAGATATATTGATAATATGATTACTAACCGAGAAACATCATGCATGTTTAATATGTATTTGTGTACGAGCAAAATTTGCAGTATTCCTCGATGATCGGTGCAGGATTGCACCTTTTACAGGGTGCAGGATTGAACCCCTAAAAGTGCTGCTATTGCATCGGTTTGCACCCCTAATGGAGCAGGATTGAACCATTAAGGGTACTAACATGTCTCCTAAAAGGTGCATCGGTTTGCACCCTCTTAAAGGGTGCAGGATTGAACCCATAAAGGTGCTGCTAGTGTTGCATCGGTTTGCACCCATAAAGGTGCAATAATAAACCATACATGGTACAATTTCCCCTAAAAGGTTCAATTTGGCACCCTTTTAAAGGTTGCAGGACTGCACCTTTAAAAAGGGTGCAGGATTTAACCCCTAAAGGTGCTGATATTGTTGAATCGGTTTGCACCCCTAAAGGTGCATATTTGCACCATTTTTTCTCAGTGTGTAAGATATTTGAAATGTAATTTGTTTGTTACAGCACGGCTCCCTTGGAAAGCAGGCCTTGCGGCTTGAATGGGATCACCCTGCTTTTTTTAAAGAAGACATGAATAAATAACTCACAGCATGTACATAGCTGTAAAATACCGAGTTTTTCTCAAATTTAATTTGTTGATTTTTCATTTTGCTTTGAGGCATTGTAATATATTCATGTATCCAAAAAGTATATTTGATAAAATGGATAATATAACAACTAGAAAGGCCAAAGTCTAATTATCAATCAAAACAGTATTTACATTACAAGTGTGCTCGCTTATTATTTGCTCATAGCTCAAAAGTATTTGTGAGTTTCGACACTGTCGATTTTATATTTGTTATATGAGATTATGTTAATTGTTGATATGTTGTGTGATAGAACAGATACTGCATTATACTGAGTATTTGTTAGATTCAAACTGTCGATTGTTCATTGGCTATATGTCATGCTGATTAATATAAGTATCCGACCAGTATATTTAATAGAACAATAAGTAGTTTGCCTAGTATCCTTATCTAGTTTTACAGACAAAATGCTAAGTAATGATTACATATCTTCATATTGTGGCATTAAAATAATGAAATAAGTTACAAAGATTCATCATCCCACACACTCACAACTTCTACAAAGCTGCATTATACTAAGTATTTGTATCATTCATTTGGTTGATTTTCTGTTTCGGTATGTGACATGTTGACATATATGTATCCAACAGGTATAATGAATAATATTAAGTAAATTACATGGCGAGTGCCATAAAAATAAAACATTTGTAAGATTCAACACTGTTTATTTCATACCTTTGCCATGGGAAATGGCAATCTTTGATATAGTTTGATAAAACAGACAGTAGAATGGAATACGTGTAAAGATGCACCTATGATTAATAGGCCTATTGATATTAATTTATTCACACAGAGCAACGGAGCACATCTTTTGTCAACGCTCATGCGCTGTATGTTTATTGGTTTTCTTTTATTTGTCTACATGCCATATTCATACACCGTATGCAGCCATGAGTGAGACACTCCGATAGAATTTTGGCGAATGTGTGTCAAGTGAGCATCAGTTTGACGTGGGATGGCATACACATAGACGCCATTTTGATTGACACCTAATGCTAGGAGTCCACTGGTCCGGCGCCAGTTGGTGCCAGTTTGCGCCAAAGATTATGTGATTGGCGCGTAGTGGCTCGCTGTGGCGGCGAATTAATGTCCGTTCGGCATGTGTCGCCAAGTGGGATAAACTGGGTGCCATATGGCGTGCGCCAAATGCCACCCGGCTTGCTCCAAAATGTTGCGCCAGTTTGCGCCAGCTCGCGCCATTACACGGCCATTTGATTCCAAAATTCACCCTGTTGGCGCCATTCGCGCCAACAGACGGCTACTTTGCGCCACTTGGTGATTAGTTTGTGCCAAAGGTCGCCAAATTGGTTTGAACTTGCCGCCGCTTGGCGCTGCTTGCCGACTATATAAATACCGGCCATCTGAACCGGCCACCTGGTTCAGACCCTCATCAGCTGCTGTATGAACAACATCTCTACTAAATATTTACAATTTTGATATGTCTGAGGCTTTTGATAATGTTGGAGTGATGATGCTGCTCCATCAGAAGATGATGAGAGATGCTGAGGTGGCCACTGCCTATCAACTTATGCTGGCCAATCCTGAAGAAGAAGAGCCTCCTAAGAAGAAAAGGAAGCACAACTGGTGGTTTAGACCCATGCTCCACCCACAGTTGAGGGCCGAACGTGGACAGTACCACACTTTGATCGAAGAGTTGAGGGAGAATGACAGGAGGAAGTTCAAGAACTACACCAGGGTGTCCCCAAAGATGTTTGATGACCTGTTGGTCAGGCTTACACCCCACTTGCAGAAGAAGGACACCCACTTCGGGAAGGCCATTCCCCCTGCTCTCATGTACGTTGTTCGTCTTCCTGCGCCATCTGGCCACTGGGGCCACCTATGCCGAGCTGTCTTACAACTTCCGAGAGGGCAAGGAAACCATCCAGAAGTTTGTTCCTGATGTAGCCAGATCGATAGTGGATGAGTATGCTGCAGAAGTCATCTCCCTCCCCACAACCAATGAAGGCTGGCTTGAGGTTGCAGGTGATTTTGAAGCCAGATGGAATCTTCCTCACTGTCTGGGAGCCTATGATGGAAAGCACATCCATCTCCAGAAGCCCAACAAATCAGGCAGCCTTTACTTCAACTACGAGCAGTTCTTCTCGGTTGTCCTGATGGCTCTGGTAGATTCAAAGTACCAGTTCATGTGGATCGATGTGGGTGGGGTTGGCCATCAGTCTGATGCCCAGATCTACAACAACAGTGAACTGAAGGAGTGCATTGAAGCTGGCACTTTAGGCATCCCAGATCCAGCTCCTCTTCCCCCATGATGATGAAGAGCACCCTATGCCGTACTTCTTCGTGGGAGACGATGCCTTCGCCATGAGGACGGACATGATGAAGCCCTATGGCCGTCGTAACATGGTCCAACAGCAGAAGATCTTCAACTACAGGCTGTCCAGGGCAAGGCGTGTGGTTGAAAATGCCATTGGCATTCTGGCTCTGTGGTTCCAGTGCTTCCTTGGCCAGATGAGACAGGAACCAGACACAGTCCGCCTGCTCGTTTAAGCTGCCGTCATGCTGAACAACCTCATCAGGAAGC